TCGGAGATAATACTCTATTGATCGACTACTTGTGCGATTAATTAGTTAAGCTCTGGAAAGCATTTTTAAAGTGCTGAAACTCACGCTAATGCTCACAAAGCCCATCAGTGACTGGTACCCTAATAGCGGCGAGGCCTCCAGCGTATTTGGACAATAGCCCAATGGATAATAAATGAAAGGCTGATAATGCACAGATCCTGGCACAAGAGGTTGGCTCCTTTCCCCATCCTGCCACTTCCCATATGCCAGGTTTCTCGCCGCTTCCAATCCTTCCTTTACACCCACTTCTTCCACTAAGCCCTCTAGTGCACATCCTTGTGGACTCTGCTCCTGATCTCCCCTCATTGAAGTCAATGGCTCTCCTGCCACTGATTTCAGTGGAATGAATTGAGGTCTAAATCTGGGCATTTTGGAGCCTGTGTAGAATGCATCTATTCAAATTAGATGTCACACCTCTCAAGTGAAGGAACCACTTTTACTGGAGATAAGGAAACACCATGTTACGCAAAGTACCTTCACCTCTCAGAATCCACCCTTGCTCCCAGGCTGGCCTCAACTTGCATCCTGTAAATTAATCTCCCACTTGAATTTAAACTTAAAAAAGAAATCCAGTTACCCTGGAGCTAACCAGACAATAGCCAAATGTCCCATACAAATCCTTTGCTTGTTTGTGCTTCCTTCTTCATTATTCCTTTGTCTGTATTCGGCCCATTGATATTGCAAGTGCCTACAGTGTGGGAAAATGCATCTTCTTACATGTCTATAACAGAATGCCCACCAAGAGCATCACTAGAAATAATCCAGGGTGCCATCCAATAAACTTTAAAGAGCTGGGAAAATCATCATTGTCACGAAAATTCAAATTTTTAATGCTGGCACCATCTTTGTCCTCCTTTATGGAACAGAGTGATGGAAATGAACAACCGATATTGGTTTGCTCTGAGATTGGTTAGGACTTCTTTTGTTGCAAGAAACTCTTCCTGGGGGATTCTGAACATCTTCCCCAGGCATGCACTTTGGAATGAGGGGATCTTACCCATCGAAAGCATCCAATACAGCAGGCATGTCCAAAGTCCGGCCCGCGGGCCAGTTGCGGCCCATGTTCCGGTTTAATATGGCCCCACGGGTAATTTGGCAATATCTATCTTTTATGGCCCCCAATGAATCCATATGTATTGAGATGAATACATTGTAAAATCTCAGTTAAAGTCAGTTGGTCTAAATCAGTTATAAATATATTTGGACACAACATGTATACTTGGTGTTATGTTCCTGTTCATATTTTTTGAACTTAAAAGTTGACAGACAACCTTTATTACCAATAATATGTAATGTACTTTACAATGTTCCTGACATATATTTCAGCTTCCTGGATTTTTTTTTCATCTGGCCTTCAGATATGAAAGGCAGAGTGATTTAACACCTGTTTAGATTTGTCATCCATGTGACGAAATGAAAAGTATGCCGTTTGCAATAAACTTTGCATAAAATAGTTAATTTGCATTTAATTTTAATGGTTCAAAGAATGTCAGGCAAAATGGTCGGCCCTCACGCATGTTCACTTCATCAAATCTGGCCCTCTTTGAAAAAAGTTTGGACACCCCTGCAATACAGTAAGAGGATTACAGACAGATCCACCAAGAGGGAGGGGTGAAAAAGGGCAGTTGCCCTGGGGCTTAGAAATTCAAGCGGGCCCAGGGCTCCCAATTGTGACAGCTGGAGCCCCAGCCTTTTAAATGGCCCCTGGAGCAGCTCTAATGGCTGGGGAGGCAGCCCCTCCCGTTCCATGCAAGGCCCCGCCCCTTCTGGGAGCAGAGGGCCAGCCCCTTCCCATCTTGCCCAGGGGCTCCGGAGGCCGTCAGCACCCTGATCACAGAGGCCGCATTTAGGACAGGTTCTGAGAATGCCCCAACATGGCTTCCATGGTGAGTCATAATACAGACACCACTTGGAAAGAGAAAAGAGAAAAACCTAGAAAAGTATCATGAAGAACAAGAGAGAGAGAAGCCAAATCCATCAACATCACACTCAAACCTGAACGGATTAGCACACGACCACAGTGGCTGAGAAGTTGGCCGCTCTATGCCCTCGGGCTGCAGGAGGGCAAAGGAAGAATATACAATATGTGGGGTACTTATAGCCCACTCTATTAGCCTCATTTAGCACGGACACTTTAATTGACAATATATTTTCTATTATTTTCCTTCTCCTTCCCTCCTCATCTCTTCTCTTTATGAGGCAGCGAGGAATCCCAGTCAGGCTTCCTGACTTCTCCGCTGCCCTGAGTGCCTCTTAGAAACACGGCTGCTGCGCTCCATTTCTTTCAAAACTGGAGGGGAGGGAGGAAGCTTCAGGAGCCGCCCCACCCCCAGCACAATCCCATTGGCCAGATTCTGACTGGAACCCAGCCAATGGGAGCTGCTTATTGGAATAACAGACAGCCAAGAAGAACCACCCCCTCTCCTGGGCTCAGTTATTCAATGAAGCACATGGCCAGGCAGGCAGGCTGGCTGGCTGGCTAGGAAACATTTTAAGCTCTGCAGGAAGGCAAGCTAGTTTGGCAGCTGGCAGGTAAGTCTCTTGGCCACAGCCTGCTTCTGGCACTGCAGCCCTTTCCCGCCCCAACCCTCTACCTCCCCTCACATTCAACATACCCAAACCCTCTGTGCCCCTTTTACACCCATACCCCTGCCCAGATCTGGCACCCCAATCTCCTGCCCCAGATCACAATCCCCTCCTTCCCTAGGTCACATCCCAAACCTCTGCATTCCAGTCCCCTGCCTTAGGTCACAACCGCCTCCTTCACCCAAACTCTCTCCCAGACTCCAGTTCCCTTCCTGCACCCCAGTCCCTTACCCCACACTCCCTCCTGCACCCACCTCCATCCCAGACCCCGCATCTCCTCTGTTAATATCACGGAAGAGTCAAGAATCAGAGGGGTAGCCGTGTAAGTCTGAATCTGCAAAAGCGGCGAGGAGTGGAAGAGTGTGGCCCTCGATCACTTGCCAAAATCTTGCAGTGGCTCCCTGTCAAAAATTATTGCCCACCCCTGCTCTAAGGTGCTGCAGAACTATGTGTTGTTTAAGTTTATACATTATGTCAGGGGTTCTCAAACTTTGTCATACTGCGACCCTCCTCTAAGTTGCTCACGGCCCCCCGGAGGGCTGGGACCCACAGTTTGAGAAATGCAGCATTATGTAATATGATTGCAGCTGTGCCATGTTCCATATTCATCTCCACAGCACCAATTCTCATGATTTTATCATTTCTTTCATATTATTCTATGTAGGGTATGTCTACACTGCCACCCTAGTTCGAACTAGGGTGGCTAATGTAGGCATTCGAACTTGCAAATGAAGCCCGGGATTTAAATATCCCAGGCTCTATTTGCATGTTCCCGGGCACCGCCATTTTTAAATGCCCCGTAGTTCGAACTCCTGGCCCGCGGCTACACGCGGCACGGACTAGGTAGTTCGAATTAAAGCTCCTAATTTGAACTACCGTTACTCCTCCTGCAATGAGGAATAACGGTAGTTCAAACTAGGGTGGCAGTGTAGACATACCCATATTTCCTAAAGCCCCAGATCCTGGTGTCATGTTATTTCATGATGGTCCCTGCTTTCATTAAGGATTCCATTTCTGGCCCTCAAGGTGGCAGAGGAAAGCTGGAAAACATGAACACCAATCACTTCAGAGCAAGACGACAACTTAAAACATCCCAACATCACTTATTTGTATTACTTAGTCCCATGATGTTGGGACCCTGATTCATGAATGTTCAGTATTTGGACTTGGCATTTCTGGAAGCAACGGTGTGACTCTAGTTTATCATTATAAAAGAGCAAACAAAGATGCAAGTCTCTCTGAACCTCAGGTGAGTTGGATCTGGATTCAGATCTCAAGTTAGCAGTTCAAGCCTTTTCCTAATTATAATTCTCAACTCCCAGTCTCCCTTTGCCTATGTCAATGTTCCCACACAACCCAAACCAAATTCTCGCTTCCTCCTTGTTTTGTTCTTCAATATTTCTAGTTTCTTTGAATTGCACACACTAATATTCTACCATCCAGAAGTGCACATAATTCATTAAAGATGTATTTCATGCAATTTTTACATAAGAATAGCCATACAGGGTCAGACCAAAGGTCCATCTAGCCCAGTGTCCTGTCTTCCAACAGTGGCCAATGCCAGATGCGCAGAGGGAGTGAACAGAACAAGGAATCATCACATGATCCTTCTCCTGTCACCATTTCCAGCCTCTGACAAACAGAGGCTAGGGACACCATTCCTACCCATCTTGGCTAATAAGTATTGATGGGCTTCTCCTCCACAAATTTATCTAGTTATTTTTTGAACCTAGTTAAAGTCCTGGTCTTCACAACATCCTCTGGCAAGGAGTTCCACAGGTTGACTGTGGAATCAATCAATCAGTTCCAGATGTACAGCCTGAAATCTTCCTCATTGCAGCTTCTTTCGTGATTCACCGCCAGAGGACTTCAATCCTTTTTTGAATGGGGGTAACTGAATAGAGGGAGTCTGGTAGAAGATAATTTGTTTTCCATATTTATTCATAACTTGACCTGTTTGTTCTGAGTCTACCACTAACATGTCAATAATATGTATAGCAGTGATTTTTTTAGGGGGAGAGGAGGAGGGAGTTGGGGAAACAACTGGAGCGGAAGAAGGGGTAAAAGTGGATATGTACATCCAGTCTACCCATCCCTGAAGAACTAAGATAAGACTGCAAGCTTTTTCCACATGTCATCAAATTATGTGCAGTTATTTTTAAAGAGCTACACTTTGTATTAGTCGTAAGAGCTATGTTCATTTGCATTTTTCTTGAGTTTTATATTCCGATCATACAGTACATTTAGCTCTCATGTTCTGAAATCTGTTTAATACACTTGTATAGTACACAGCTGTCAGAAGTAATTGACATTATAGATTTTGCCCTGTTATTAACACAGTACAAATATCACCTTCCATTTATTCAATTTTTCAGGGGAAAAAAACAGCCTCATTCCATTATCCTGGCGGTGGTGCAACTTACAAGGGGCAGTCGGTCCACAGAACTCTCGTAGAGTCGTTTGATCACCCTGACAGCAATGAGACCGAGTGGAGAGAGAACATTGACATGGTTATGAGCTGGTTTACCAAAGAGAACTTTGATTTTGTCACCCTTTACTATGGAGAACCTGACCAGGTAGGGCACAAAAAGGGTCCTGAAACAGAAGACAGAAAGCTTATTATTCAACAGATTGATAGGACCATTGGCTACCTTGTGGAAGCTATTGAGAAACACAGCTTGAAGGAGAAGTTGAATGTCATCATTACTTCCGATCATGGAATGACCACAGTAAAAAAGAAGCCTGCAGTACAGGAGATATTATTGTCCAACTACATCAAATTCAGAAACTTGACCAAGTTTGACATACTGGACTATGGGGGCTTTGGGATGATATCCCCCAAGGCAGGAAAACAGGAGGAAATTTACCAGGCACTGAAGAATGCTCATCCTCATCTAAAAGTGTATAAAAAAGAAGAGTTTCCTGAACATTTCCACTATGCAAAACACGAACGAGTTTTACCGATCCTTGTTTATGGCGACCTTGGTTACAGTGTTAATTCGGTGAGTTCATTATTGAATCTAAAGCCACAGTCACGTTTCTTGGCAGTCACAGAGTAACCTTTAGAAGACTGCACAGACTAGTCGCCTTACAGTGTTGCTCATCAGCTGTAATTGGGGTTGGATTTGCTCCATAAAAAAAAAAATGTTTCTAGTGCTGGTACAGGTTGAAACTCCCAAATCCAAGTCTCTCTGGTCCGACAACATCCATGGTAAAGCAGGGCCACAGATGTTGCTGGACAAAAGAGCCCCAGAGCAACGCAGGTGCTGGGGAGTCCTGGCTGGGCCAGGTAGCATCTTGCCCTGCCCGGGGAACCCCCAGCATTAGCGAGGCCACATGGTGGGGGAGCCCTGGCTGGGGAACCCCTGGATGCAGCCCAGCTACCTGCAGCCCGGTGGCCCCAGCCAGGAATCCTGGCAAACTCCCAGTGGCAGCAGGGTCGGGGTGACCGGGTAGCCTCCTCAGGGGACCCCCAGCTGAAGCAGGGCTGGCGGAGGCGGGAAGCCCTAGCCAGGGAACCCGCAGAATCCCCAGTGTCAGCAGGGTGACCCCAGCAGTAGGGCGGGATGGCCAGGTGGCCCAGGCTGGGGAACCCCCGGCAGCAGCAGGGCCAGCAGTGCTGGAGAGCCCCAGACAGTAATCCCGGGAAACACCGTGCAGCAGCAGGACTGGGAGGCAGGGCCCCTACTTTGAGAATCAGTAGAGGGCTTCCGGTTGGCTTCAGGTGCTTGGTGGAATTGCTGGATCCGAACCTTTAAACTCAGGTCAGTTCAAAACCAGTGTGCCTGCTTTAAAAAGTTCTGTCAGGAATTTAGAAATAAGAATGTTCTGGTGGGAGAGTCTGGTATATAAGTCCGGTTGTTAAATCATGCGTTTGTTGAGTGTGTGAATGTATCTGACTGAGTGCATGATTCCTGAGAAATGAGCATTGGGTCTTGTCACTTCCCTGGGATAGACTCCTGGGGCATCCGTCAGCCACCCTGGCTGCCCGCTGAGAAGGAGCAACCAGCTCTAGCAGTTAAAGACTCGGATGGTATGAGGTCTCAGTGGTGACTAACCCCATTTACCCCTCCCTGGGTATATCTACACTACCCTCCTAGTTCGAACTAGGAGGGTAGTGTAGATATACCCAGGGAGAGGAGCCCAAGAACGGAGCAGTCAGAAGTGGAGAACTGACCTCCCCTGGTCCAGCAAACTCCCTGATCTGGGACAGCTCCGGTCCCAAGGGCGCCAGACCAGGGAGGTCCAAACTGTAATGAGGATGTATTAAATCCAGGGTACCGATTGTAGCCTCTTGGGGCAGGGACTTCTTTTTGTTAATCTGATGTTTACGCAGTGCTTAGTGTGATGGGGTACTGGTCCATGACTGCGGTTCTTAGAGCAACTCCTCTATCAATAAACGTGTGCATGCTATTTTCTCCTCTATTAATTACAGGAAAATAGCAATTCCACTTTCACAATATTTTCATTGCTACCAAGGGATGAAATGGAGTCTCCATCATTGGATGTCTTCCCGTCAAAACTGGGGACCTTTGTGGAAGACATGAATTAGTCCAGAGATGGGGAACTTTTTCTGGGCCGGGGGCCGCCGGCCCACAGACAAATCTATCGGGGGCCGCACACAAGTGAGAAGCCTCTGACTGAGAAGGAAAAAGACCCTCCTCACATTCTCCTTGCACGCCACAGTCTGGGGGCCCTGACTAGTGGACTTTGTGCACTCTAGCCCTGTGGGTGGGTCGCAGGGGGCAGGAACACCAGCGCGGGCTCCCCAACATGGGGGCCTCAGGGGGTCGCATCCAGTCCCCCTGCTGGAGGTTCCCCACCCCTAATTCAGTCACACACAGGAAACTGGGGTCAGTACAAGAACAACTGAGATCAGTACCCCAGTCTGTGCTATACCGATCAGATTACATGATCTCATGGTCCCACAAAACAATGATCACACAAAGTGAGTCACGCGAGGTTTGCCATGAAGCCACATGGACCCCACACATTTTACTTAGTCTTTGAGGGCTCTGATTTGGAATTTGGTAAAATGTGTTTGCCTTATGACCTCCGACAAATAGAACCTTATGGACAATTAAGTCATGGGGGGGTGGATTTTAAATGCCAGCTCTTTTTGAGATGTTCACTTGGAGAAACAGAGCGAAAAGGGAGACTGAAGGGTTAAGAAAAAATCCTAAGGTCCCAATATTGATTTGAGCCCTAAATGAGTTCCAGTAAACTTTATATTGAGCCAGCATCTTAATCTGTGAAGGCCAGTACGAGTGATATGTTCAGTACATCTTTCCATCTTCATTTTAATATGCTATGGCATCTGAATGCCATGCCTCACATAGTACATCTGAAAGAGTAAGTAAGCTGAATCTCAAAATACGGGCAGGTGTAAGGATTCTGGTGAGACACTGTTTACCTGTAAGTTTGTCAGTTTAACGACACAAAGCAATTGATAGATTTTTCACAGCAAATTCGTTTCCTGGGGAAGTTTACACAATTAATTATGTAGACAGCAAACGGACATGATCCTTTACAGAACTCAGTCACGTAGGATATGTCTACACAGCAAAGTTATTTCGAAATAACAGCCATTATTTTGAAATAACTATCCTAGCGTCTACACAGCCATTCCGTTATTTCGAAATTAACTCGAAATAGCGGAGGGCTTATTTCGAAATTGATAAACCTCATTCCACGAGGAATAGTGCCAATTTCAAAATTGCTATTTCGAAATAAGTGCTGTGTAGATGCTTATTTCGAAATAGGGGGCCTCCAGCCCTTCCCAGGGTGCCCTGCTGGCCGCCCTGGCCACAAGGCAACTTCTGACCTGATGCCCTGCTGGAACTGGTTCCAAACAGCCTTAAATGCGGTTCAACGTCCACTCAGTGTGAATGCGCTATTTCGAAATAGAAAAACACTATTTCGAAATGCGTTTTGTGTGTAGACAGGTTATTTCGAAATAAGCTATTTAGTATTAACTATTTCGAAATTAGATATTTCAAAATAATGCTGTAGTGTAGACATGCCCATACAGTCTCTAGCATTTTGTTTTTCTCTCATCCCACTGTCATGCACTTGGGGATTGCTTGTTTTAAAACTATTATTCTTTTCGGGAAGAGAAACAGTATCTTCACCCATGATATCATCTCTTCAGTACTGCGCTTGTTGTGAGCCAAAGACTTCATCCGCACTCAGACAAAACTCCCACCAACTAAAATTCCAATTGCATCACCATCTGGCTTCAGATGAATTGCCAGGCTTCTGCAACTTGTCAGTTAGTTGTTCTTACTTTAAAAAAGACCCATTTTGCATAAGCCTCAGATTGAGAGTGCAAATCAATTAAGACTTTCATCATGCATACCTCCATTGTTTCACTGTATTATTTTCTTAAATCTATTTTATGCAGAAACGTATCTGTCTTGGTCATAGTCCAAATTTGCAATTGTCTGAAGCATTTGAGAGGCATTGGGTGAGCTAGATTTGATTTATGCACCTATGAATAAGTTACAATTTTTGTGATCAAGCAACTCCAGAAAAACTGGATCCACCAGCTGCAAACCTGACGGCATAGTAGCTCTCACTGAATCTTAAAAAGTAAAGCAGTTTTGAAGATCAGTGGAGCAGACTGAAAGTTGAGATTTTTTAAATGCAGAGGTGCACATGCATTACGATAGCTCTATGACTTTTTAATGTATTTAAATGAGACAGCTGTTAAAGGAGGCTCAGTTACTGATAGCTGAGTT